GACAGACAGAATGATAGATAGGGATAGAGAGAGAGGCTTAACACGCATAACACGATAAGAACAGAAACTTAGCGAGACCATTAGGCTGTGAAAACGACCTCCTGTTAACACAGAAAGTAAACGGACTCCAGTATCAACGCGACAAGCCCATACCGATAGCCAACAAACAGTCAGCCGGGTTAAGCATACTTTTTTTTCACGCTCTTTTCATATCTTGTAAATGAAAATAAATCTTTGGTCATTTCTCCAAACTAGTGTCTAAATTGTTTCTTTACTCCAATAAACTTCATCAGATATCCGGTGGAAACATCTAAATGCAGAATGTACAGGGTGCGACCATCGCCATTTTACATATTTTTTTTAATTTTGCGCATGCGCATGCGCACTGTTTGCTCTTGATTTTTTTTTTTCGACAGCTCAGTATGATAGGGTATGTTGTGCATAGTCTGTAAGAAATAAAGCGACATAAATCAATTCTCTCCGCCAGAAATTTGTGTTTAGTGGCTTTATTGCCTTGCTCAGGGTGAAATAAATTAAAAAAATGAGTTAGTTAACTCTTATGTCTAGTATAAGTGTCGTTTGTGTTACACTTTTCTGTAAAACTTTCTCGTTGTTCCCATGTTCAGTCCTTAGTATTCTCATCCTCCTCCTGTACAACAATATTTCTATTACCTCAAGTATTTGCTTAGTTTGCGATGAGATTGCTTAGTATCCACTATATAGGAAGACTAATATTGCGTAAATATTGAGTAATGGATAGTGGCTTGGATTGAGGAATCGGAGAGCTGAGTTCGAATTCCAGTCGAATTCATTACATTCACTAATGTGCTAATACCCTTGGGAAAGGTGTGAATCCTCTTCTCCCTCCAGCTTTGGGTAAATAGCAGAACAGACAGCGTTCTATAGCCTTGGATGGCAACTGATCTAGGAGAAGGACAACTCTGAATTCAAACCCGGAGTGGAGCCCCTAAGGCGAATGGACGGCACTTTGTGCTACCTTCCGGCAACTCTTGCAGCCAAACTGTATTGGTTTATCCTCTCCTTCGAACTCTGCTAGCAAGGCCGAGAGGGGCACCTAGACGTCTGGGCAGCCCTCGTTCTCCATATATCCCGCCCAGGCTCGTAGCGCACTGCGCTACTCCATCGTCTCTCGAGACGGACTGACGCCGAGGACGACCACGACGAATATTGCGTAACAGTTCAGTACAGTACTCCTTTCTTTGTAACAAAATTTTTCTGTTTCTTGATATTCAGTTTAAATTTTTTAAAGACAACTTTCGCTATTGTAATGCTCCATCAGATTTCAGTGACTATTTTAAAAAAAAAACGCTACTGAGATATGGGTATTTTCTAAGCGTAGCTACATGTGGCATAAGGCCGAAAGTATGGAGCACCTAGTGAGGACCGAACTCAATTTTCAGTCGTAAATGATCTAGCGTGACAAGCTTTCTAATCATTACACCAGACTGAGTTGCCCAATATCGTGATTTTCTAAGCGTAGCTTAAACGTGGCACAAGCCGAATATATGGGGCAACTAGTGAGGATCGAATCAGATTTCAGTCGTAACTGATCTAGTGAGACAAGCTTACTAACCATTACAACACACTGAGGTGCCCAAACTCTTTACAGATATGTAAATGATTTGGTATCTCCAATTTGTAATGTTCGGCTGACCCTTTTGCTGACAACTAAGCATTTTGTCTTCTTGCTGTTGATGTGTAATTTTTTTTTCTCGCCTTTTTTCGCCGGTTTCTGGGAGAGTTCTGTAGTTTCTTTCCTGTGTCTGCTATCAAAACTGTGGTATTTGCATACCGTATTTTGATAAGATCGTTGTTGCCAATAATGAAACTTGTTAGGAGTTCCAATGGAATATTTTTCAGTGGGTCCACGTCGCTAGCGAATTTGACACAAGTTCAGTTTAAAGTGAATTTGAATGCAATGCCATGGAAAACTTGATCCTTCCCGGCACTACTGATTTTTGGGGACGCTTCAGGCACCGGGTAATGACCCCCAGCACAAAGGAGATGTACTGCCTGGGGGTGGACAATAATTTTCAATTTTCTTTGATCGAAGCGAATATCGATACTGGTAGGACTTCTAATTATCTTAGAATCGCCTCCCTGTATAAGTTAAACAAATCCGGCGATAAGACACATCCTTGTCTTACAACGCTTCCTAATTTTGTATATTTACTGAACTCATTTCCGTATATAGACATTTTTCCAGTTTAAGTTCTGGGTTGTTTTAATGTCCTTCCAGAATATATCTTTCTTATCCCTAACAGTAGTGGGAGATGAGAGATTATTGCTGTAACCTGGGGAAGATAGATAGGTAGATAGATAGATAGATAGATATGAAAAGACTCAGATAGATAGATAGATATGAACAAAACAGTGTTGCACAATGAATCTCCAATTGCAGGATATGTGCCAACCGCCCCACGCGATCAGATGTGATATAAAGTCGAATATAATGTAGAGTGTCCGAGCCCGTAGCCACGGTCAAATATTCCCCGTAGACTCTGTATAAAACGGGGTAGCTGAACGGACTGAGATAGATAGATAGATAGATAGATAGATAGATATGAACAAAACAGTGATCGATAAAGTTGTGACCTAGTGCAGGTTACTGAATAGAATAATCAAACGAAGGTTGGTAATGAACGATAATACTTAGGACAAGAACAACACATATAAGATTCACCACTGGCACATAGAAGAAGTAGTCGACTGCTAGAAGAGAGTCAAGTGAATTCCACAATGAATCTTCAATTCCTGACCAACATACAGTATCTACTACTGTATTTATGTGAATGGGGATGTAGGTATGCTACAACAATAGTGAAACTTTAAAATGGAATTGAAGCAAGAAAACCAGAAATGATTACAGTCCAGATAGAAGGCAAATCAGGCCGAAGCTGTCGCAGGTAGACGCAAAGGTAGTTGAGGAAATAAAGAAGATGGAGTGATTTATTTTTTTAAAGGAATATCGACTCCTTATGGTTCATTTAATGTCGAAATTTAATTTTCTTGTGAGCTTGGAAGTAAAAATGGTATATGTTTTTGCGGCTTTCAAAATTGAATACTATTACATGATACCAAGCTTTTGTGCTGGTATATGTTCGCGTAGACATAATTACGAGGGACTGTGATTTTTGGAATACAGTTAGATTTCTTTACGAAATTATTCGCTGAAGTTATATTTGGAAATGCAGTTTGATTTAAGAAATTGTAGAATATTATATGGATAAATGTCGTTAAAACGTTTTTTCTTGTTTGTCGATTTCGCTTAGCGGCACATAGTCTATGAGTTATTTAATGGCGAATCTATATTTGTTGAAGTTATATTTAGAAATGCAGTTTGATTTAAATTGTAGGTTATTAGATGGATGAATGTCATGAAAGACTTCTTTCATGTTGGAAATTTAGTCCTCTTTTTAACACATTTCGGTGATGTTGCTAAACAACTGTAATGACTTCACTTTCGTAATGTTTGTCATTATATTTATAAATATGTATTTTTGGTGTCTTTATATAAAAATGTAGTACTGGTATTTTTACTAGAACAAAGTATTTTTATAATTTCATAGTTTTTTATTATTGTTTGGTGTATCATTATTTGCCCATAGCCGGATCCCTAACAGTTGCTACCACGCTTGGTCAGATTGGACCTGGGAAGAACAGCAATTAAGCGGAGATTCCGCGTTCGTCAATACCTCCAGTCTTACGAACGAAAACCTTGGTGCCGGATGGAAGAGAGGAAAGGAGAATGAGGAATGGTATGAAGAAATGGGGGAGGAGCGATGGTGAAGAAGAAAGGGGAGAAGAAAAAAAGAAAAGTGAGAGGAGAGGTGGTGAGAAGGAGAAGTGGGAGAGGGGGAAAAGAAAAAAAAATGGACGAGTAGGAGAAAGAGAGGAAGGAGGAGCAGAACGAGGAGATGAAGAAAATGAAAAAAAATATGAAGAATAAGGTGAAGAAGAAGATCGATGATGACAATGAGAAGGAGGAGGAGGAGGAGGAGAGGTGGTGAAGAAGAAAAAGAAGAATAATGAGATAGAGGAGGAGGATGAAGAGAAGAAACAGGTGAAGAAAATGAAGAATGATAATGAGCAAGAGGAGGATGAAAAGAAGAAGAAGAAGAAGAAGAAGAAGAAGAAGAAGAAGAAGGAGGAGGAGGATGAGGAGGAGAGGTGGAGAGGTGGAGAAGACGAAAAAATGGAGGAGGAGTAAAAGAAGAAGAAGGAGGCGACGGAGGAGGAGGAGCAGAATGTGAAATGATGAAGGTGAAAAAATGATGAAGAAGAAGAAGAAGAAGAAGAAGAAGAAGAAGAAGAAAAAGAAGAAGAAGAAGAAGGTGGTGGAGGAGGAGACGTGGTGGAGAAGGAAAAGAGGGAGAGGAGAGTTAGGGAAGAAGAGGGAGAAGGGGAAAGATGACGAGAGTGAGAAGAGAAGAAGAAGAAGAAGAAGAAGAAGAAGAAGAAGAAGAAGAAGAAGAAGAAGGTGAAGAAAATGAAGAATTATAATGAAAAGAAGAAGAAGAAGAAGAAGAAGAAGTAGGAAGGTAAAGGAAACGTAAAAAATAAAAGAGAGAAAAACTGATAAAGTATGGAAACACGTTTCCGAATCTTTTTTTGTTCTCTCCGAATAATCAGGATTTCAGAGTAAAAAATATCGAAGAAGCCAAACGCAAATTACTATTGCACATTCAAAAACAGAAATAAAATTATGACTTAGATCTGAGGAGTGTTCGTAACACTTAGCTTCCAGCGGCGCCTGCAACAGAATTTTCGCGGGAATTAATTAATATTAAAAAAAAATAAATAAATTTGAAAAATAAATAAATAAAACAGAAGAAATACCAGGAGAAAATTCAAACGATTCTTTCCTCTCATCCCACGAAAGGAGCAACTTTTAAAATTAATTTTATATTTACTAAGTGGAATTTAATTTTAAACAATATACTCCGTAAAAATGGCAATTGAATAAATACTAGAAAAAGAGAGTTAGTACATTCACCACTGAAGTGTAAGAAAAGACGCTTCAAAAGGAAATGACGTAATGCACACACGTGCGTACACACACACACACTCACTACATATATATATATATATATATATGTTTAAATTAAAAGGACAGAAAAGAAAACGTTTTATATTCTTATTTATTCATCAATTTATTTTTTCTCACCCGAGAAGACAAAGTTAAATTATAAATTTTTGGCACCATAATAAAATTTGATAAGGAATAAACTCTAAAAGATAAGAAGATTAATAATCAGGGACAATTGCCAAGAAAGCGTCGAATATGCGCTTAGTTCTTTCTTTCTTTAATTATTATTATTATTATTATTATTATTATTATTATTATTATTATTTCTGTGGATTTCTTTCGTATGCACATTTTATTCCAGAGACCTAAGGTCAGAAATGGCATCATGACATTCTTCTATGATCATTTTTGTAAAAACAAAATATATATATAAGACATATCAGACATATTTTACATAATTAAATCTCTTCGTAATGCGTGATTTGTACACGTGAGTACAATTTTTACTATTGCTTTGAGGCATGGTCTACGAGGAATCCGTTCAATGAATCTATTTGTACATATTCCAATCAATCTGAAGGTTCCACCTACAAGTGGAATTATTGATGTCCTCATGTGCCACATTATTCAAGATCCTTTTGAATTTTTTTTGAAGATCTTCAAAGATACATTACAATCGCCAGGGACTCTGCAATGTCGATAAGAAAGCAAATTCTCTTGTTTGCGCTTTTTGATCACGATATCTGGGCTATAAGCTTTGATACTTCTGTCTGTGTGTATTTTAAAGTCCCATAAAATTGTTACAGGTTCTTTATCTGTAAACGGGTCTGGGTAATGTTCATACCAGTTTCTCACTCTTTCCTGTCCGTAAAAATATCATATTTTTTACAGTGCAGATACCCTAACAGGGCAAGTTTTATATTCAGTGGGTGCTAATACTGTGAAACCTGGTACAGGATAGACAATTGTTTCTTATTATTATTATTATTATTATTATTATTATTATTATTATTATTTCCTTTCATATATGGTGTTTACACATTTCTTTCCGGGTCCCGACCATGGACCTAAGTTTAGAAATGGTATCATGACACTCTCCTCTACAATATATATATATATATATATATATATATATATATATATATATATATATATAGATAGATAGATAAAGCCCTTCGTAAAGTGTGGGCTGTACTTGTGAGAACAATTTTTTGTATCTCTTTGAGGCATGGACCTCCAGGAATCCCTTCAATTAGTCTACTGCAATCTTTTCCAACCAATCCTAGGGCTCCAACTACAACGGGGACTTTTGGTGTTCCCATGTGCCACATTTTTGAGATTTTGATTTCAACGTCCTTGTATTTTGATTATTATTATTATTAGTAGTAGTAGTAGTATTTCTTTTCATTTTCTTTATCAAGTGTATTTGAGCTCAGACATAGTGCTCCAAGGTCTGCAGATTTTCTGAATTTCCTGCTAATGACGATTTCTTGAGCTTCGAAACATTAGGGTAACTCGAGTTTGGGACTATGGTATGACACTACATTTGAATGTTGACATGATAAATAATGTCACAAAATATTTTTTCCCAAACTGTTAATTTTTTTTTAGAGGAAACGAGATTAAAAATTAAGTTTACGTTCAAAATTGTAGTGTTGAAATTTAATTCATGTGATCAGGGAAAGCCTTATAAAATGTATAATGTACTGAAGCCTTACAAACTGTATATGGACAAGATGCAAGTGATACGTAGATTATTATTAATTCATCGTGCCATCAAATATGACACTCATTTACTTCAAAGGGAAATTATAGTGAACAATTTAGATATATTATGCGGTAATTTTATACAGTGCAGTAGTTTTAGTGCAATGCAAATTTAAGACATTTTGTCATATAATTTGTACCCCGAAGTATTACGATGTTATATACACTTTTATCTTTTTTTTTATTTTTATTAATTTCCTCTAAGTTTTTTTTATTGAGTAGTTTTTTTTTTTCGTCTTTTGTTTTTACAATGTTTTTACACAGTTTTTGTTATCGAATACAGTAAAAATTTTGCTTGTGATGATTCATAATTCGAATTACGCTACGGATACATTTTCTATCCAATACAAAAATATGAATTTTATTTTGATGTATTCTTGTTATTTGTCAGCAAAATCATTCAGAAATTAGATATATCTATACATTTTTGGACGAATTTTAAAACAAAATGCTCAAATTTTTGTAAAAGCTACGAAGAATTATTCTGGTATCCACAGTCGAAGGTCTTACATGAAACATAGAGGATGCGCATTTTATCCTCTTTGAATGGCATGGTGTCTATCGATATTTTTATATATATGTCAAATACAATAACATAAATCAATCATATATTCTGCTATTGGAATTTAGAATGTCAAACCGCAGCTTTTAGGGCCGCGTCCAATGTAAGTTAGTGATGTGCCAGGCGTGATACACGCTTAGGCGATCATGTATCTTTAGATACATGACTGACGAGGCAGATTGTTTCCTTCAGTAGGTTGCCATTTCTTTCTGCGGTACACTAGTGCCCATCCAAAGCTATAGAACCAGGTCTGTCCTGCTATTTACCCATAGCTGGTGGGAGAAGAATTAGATTCAAAACTTTCCCAAGGGTATTAGCACGTAAGTGAATGTAATGGATTCGAACTCAATCCAAGCCGATACGCAAGATCCTATATATGTTGAACTCGTATATTCGTTTGTATCATTAGATATCGTATCCTTAATACATTGAATATGCAGCACATATGCATGTCCAGTAGCCATCAGTCAGTCAGTTATGCGCCATGTGTGATACACGCTTAGGCGATCATGTATCTTTCGATACATGACGGACGAGGCAGATTTTTTTCCCACTGTAGGTTGCTATTTCTTTCTGCGGTAAACCAGTTGCCATCCCCGTCTGTCCTGATATTTATTCATAGCTTGGAGAATAAGAAGATTCATACCGTTCCCAAGGGTTATAAGCACGTAAATGAATGTAATGGATTTGAACTCGGCTCTGAGATACCTCAATCGAAGCCGATTCGCAAAAAAAAACAGCAACAAAAGAAAACAGAAAATCTTCTTGAGAGAGAGAAAGAGAGAGGGTGAGAGAGAGAGAAGGAAGAGAGAGAGAGAGATAGAGTTTACATACAGTCAAAGATGTAGGTTATTTACTCAGAGAGAGCCTCGGGGCCACACACCTACCTTCCAATAGCTGTGCTAGCACAAAGATTCAAGTCATCGTGGCCTTTGATCGAGAGTTTGATTGTGCTGGCTTTGTTCAAATTGTTGATCACGCTAGATAACACACTCTTTTCCAGAAACTTTAACTATCCTCTGCTCAGTATAGATGCAGTATGTGGAATAAACACAGATGTGTCTGAGTAAATGTCTGCAATAGGGATTGAATAGCCGCACTAGTAGATAGGTATCTACAAATACCAGTGACCAGCTATAAATAAGTGTCATGGAGGTCTTTGAGTTGAAGGTCTGAACTGTTGAAACTAAGGAATATAGCACGACAGGACATTTGCTATAGAAATAGTGACAGAGAAGCGAGCTTTGTCATAGTATATATGATATGACAGGTCTTAGTTGAGAATTTTTGAACTGATGGAACAAAGACATGCAACTGATTAGAACTTTGTCCTAGAAATAGCGGTAGAGTTATGAGAAAATTTGAAGGGTTTATTCCTCGGTGAAACGCGTTGTAAGGTGAAAAATAATTCCTCATCGACAACGCCGCATAAACCCGTTTGAACTGTCAAGATGAGAAAGAGGGTGATGGAATATTCCATACCTACCTCTCACCCCTCCGGGATAATGCACTTTTCACGAATAATCACCTATTAACCAATCAGCATCTTAATTTCAGCAAACTAGGCTTTTCATTGGCCGAGACATCTAAAACTGTAGCAAGTTCATGCGAAAATATCTTTTTGCGCCTAACGTTTTTGAGCCGATTGAGTGTATTGTGAAGCTGCAGCCCAGATTAATGGCAACAATTTTGGCTTCGTTATTTCTTTTACCAGGAAATCCTGGTTATCTTGAGAGAACAACAGAAAATTCCACATATGATTTTCAATTGAACTTTTCTTGCTTTTGTTTGTTACGTTTTCTTTTCCTAGTGAATATTCCGTCTGGTCTGTCTGTTGTAAAGATAAAACATCAAAAGTTAATTCAGCTCCTCTTTTGAGTGTTAAACTGAACTGACCATTTCTTAGCATCTTTAGGAATGGATCTTATATATAAGCGCCATTTACAATCTGGAGTTAAATTCAATCACGACAGACTTTCAAATTAATAGGTTTTTTTGAGAGTGCAATCATACATCCTGACTTTTTAAGAATATATTATCTCAGTGATGATAAATATTTACTAGCTCATTATTCGACAGCTTCAACATCTTCATTTCCCACTGTCTGCGTCCACACATTATTGTTAATCTGGAAATCTGATCTACCAGACAAACTCAAGTCGGGATGCATTCCAGCCATTGTAGAGGTGGTATTAATATACCATACCATTGCTTTGACATTGACTAAAGCCCAAATGTCTAAGCTTGATGAAGCATACACTCGGAGAGTGAAATAATCCGTTTTCAGGACACTGCTGGCGAGTAAAACAAGGTCTCAGGAACCACCTACATTTCATAAATCAAATTTAATCCTTCCTGAAGAATCCTGTAGACATTAGCACACTAATGGTCATACGACGTTTCTCACTGTAGACACATTCGGAGATTCCTCCTCATTATGCATTAACTAGCAATGGACATCAGCTGGAAGAAAACCCCAAAAAAGATTCGCCTGTATGGACACCTTCCACCTATTTTCGCTTAGAGAAAGAGAAGGATTCGGCTAGCTGGTCACTCATTGCGAAGTAAGTCAGAACTTGTGAGTGACGCCCGCCTATAGAACCCATTGCGCGGAAAAAGATCGGTTGGAAGCCCTCATCAGAGCTACAATGACCAACTTGTAGATGACTATGGATGTCATCTGAATGACCTGCCAACTGCGATGTCTAACTGGGATGGTTGCAGGGAACGAATTAGGAGAATCCGAGTGGAATTCTCAACTTGATAATGATGATTTTATCAAGAATCTCTAAATAGATAGCATAAGAACTCGTCCAGACGTGACAACACTATATAATTCATTGACGAATGTTAGACTTATAAATACCCAACAAAGAAACGCCTGTATGGACACCTTCCTCCTATCTCACTTTCGCTAAGAGAGAGAGAGAGAGAGAGAGAGAGAGAGAGAGAGAGAGAGAGAGAGAGAGAGATTGCGCGGTAAAAAAGATCCTTTTGAAGACCTTCATTACGCCTACATGGACCAACTTGTAGATGACGCTTCACGCCATCAGCAGGACCTGCCGACGGCGATGTCTGATAGGGATGTTTGGAAGGAGTAAGTCAGGAGAATCCGGGAAGAATTCTCGACCTGATTCAAATGATGAGCAATGTCAGCGCACTCTATTTCTGATACTGCAGACAAAAGAAAAAGTATTTATTAAGTATGGAATAGTCCATTATTATTATTATGGGTAAGATCCCATAACAGTAAATAAATAAAGAAAGGCTATATGTAAAGTAAGAATTTGAAGATTATAGCTATCAGGGAAGCCAGAAAGAGGAAGGGAGATTCATCTTTGAGAAGTACAAGGGAAGAAGCTTTTAGAGAAGAAGAAACGTCCACAGTTTTGAATATTTGATATTTCCTTAAAAAAGTAAAAAAAAAAGAAAAAAGAAAAAAAAAAGTTTAATATGATAAAATTATTTTTTTCTTTAAGCATATCACCCCAAGCAAAGCAGGCGTGCCATTAGTACGCAAGGGGATTACAGAGATTAAGAACAAGAACAAAGAGTGAAAGGATACAGATTAGGACGGGATCAAGATCAAGGCATCAGAAGATGTCGATTAACATTACATTTGAATATTTGAAGATTATAGCTATCAGCGAAGCAAGTAAGAGGAAAGGAGTTCCACTGACGGGAAGTGTGAGATAAGAAGCAGTTGGAGTAGAAGAGATGGATACATTTAATCGTTTCGACAATGAAATCGTGGGACCGAGATGCCAACCTAGTAGCACGATTAAATCCATGCAATCTTGGAACCAGCGAAAGTAGCTCGTCATAGAATTTGCCATGAAAATACAATAGAAAAGACAGAGGAAAGCCACAGCACGTCTGTGAGAGAGCGACTGTAGACGAGATGCCAGATTAGGACCTATCTCATTGCATACCGTCTCTGGATTTAGACGAGGGCCTCGAAATGAACAGCGAGTGAACCAGACCGTATATGGCAACAGTATTCAATGCAAGAACGAATGGTAGATTTGTAGAATTGAAGGATAGACTCAAGCGAGAAAAAATCTTCTGGCACGACAAAGAGAAACAACTTTCCTTGCGGTAGATGAAGCTATTGATTCAGTGTTGTTCTTCCACCAAGGCTTAAAACCTTCGAATATACATTTTGAAGTTAGTGAAATAAAACAGATGCGTGAACGAAAGTCGCAAAGATTCTATTGAATTTGAAAATAGTTTTGTGTCTTTTTAAAAACATTTCTTTTAGGATTTTTTTAAGTAGAAATTCGAAGGTAGGAAAAAAATTGAAGCTAATGATAAAAGATGGATAAGCGAATTCAACTATTCACACATATGGACAGGTCATATGTAAAGAAAGAAAGAAAGAAAGGTCAGATAGAAAGAATGAAAGACCACATGTAAAAGAAGGAAGAAAGAAAGACTAGAGAAAAAAGTGAGAAAGAGCGAGGCAATTTGTAAAGAAAGAAAGAAAGAAAGAAAGAAAAGTAAAAAGGAATTGATGTAAAGAATGAAAGGCCATATTTCATGAAAGAAAAAAACAGAAAGAAAAATTAATGAATGAACAGATATAAAGACAGAAATAATGAAAGAAAGAAAGGTCATATGGAAAGAGAGAAAGAAAGAGAGGTCAGATAGAAAGAAAGGAAGAAAGTAAGAAATAAAAAAAGGTCAGATATAAAGAAAGAAAGACCACATGTAAAAGAAAGAAGAATGAAAGACTAGAGAAAAAAGTGAGAGAAATCCAAAGCGATATTTAAGACAGAAAGAGAGAAACAAAAACCAGTTGCAAAGATAAAAACGAAGACCAGATGTAAAGTTTGAAATAAATGCCAGTTATAAAGAGAAAAAGAAAGAAAGGCCAGATGTAAAAAAGAGACAGTCCATATGTAAAGAAAGAATGTTCAGAAAATAAGGCTATATGTAAAGAGTGAAAGAATGATGGAAAGAAAGGCCTCAGCTAAAGAAAGAAATAAAAACCGTATATAAAGGAAATACAAAGAAAGAATGAAAGAAAGAAAGAAAGAAGGAAAGAAAAAAGGACATATGTAAAGAAAGAAAGAAATGCCACATGTAAAGAAAGAAAGAAAAAAAGAAAGAAGGAATGAGAAAGAAACCATATGTAAAGAAAGAAAGAAAAAAGAAAGAAAGAAAGATCATATGTAAAGAAGGAAAAAGAAAGGTATATATAGGAAAGAAACGCCCGAAAGAAGGAAAAAAAACTAAGAACGAAAGAAAGAAAAAAGAAAGGTCATATGTAAAGAAAAAATAAAGGATGGTCGTATGAACAGAAAGAAAAAAAGTTCATACCTAAAGAAAGAAAGAAAGAAAGAAAGATAGAAAGAAAGAAAGGGCAAATGTAAATAAAAATGAAAGGTTTTATTTGAAAGAACACGGAAAGAAAGAAAGAAGGAAAAAAGAAATTCCAAATATAAAAAAAATGAATGGCCATATGAAAAGAAAGAAAGAATGAAAGAAAGCAGGAATGAAAGAAACGTCACATGTAAAGAAAGAAAAGCCATATGTAAATAAAGAAAGAAAGGCTATATGTAAAGTAAGAAAGAAAGGCCATATGGAAAGGAATAAAAGAAAGAAAGAAAGATAAAAAGGACATGTAAAGAAACAAAGAAAGAGACAAATAAAAAAAAAACTTAAGAAAGGTTATATGTAAAGAAAATTCGAAAAATAAAGATACGAATATTTGAATGCTAACACAAAAAAATAATCATAGAAAAACGTTAATACAAATAATAAAAGATAAAAATATTATTCTGGAAACATAACCTAAAAAAAAAAACATGACAATTCTTGAAATAGACATGGAAATCTAAAAGTGTTCTCTGCTATTTTCCTGCCATCCGAATGGATAAATTCATGAATATGCAAATTAGATTGTCCCGTGAATTAACTTGTTTTTCTTTCTTTTCTTTTCATTTTTTTTTAATTCGTTTCTGCAGAAAGAAATTAGCTTATATGACTGTAGAATTTCCCTGTCTTCTGTATCCTCTGTTTGTACTGTTTTCTGTGGAATTCAGTTACACTTTTTATGATACAAAAAAAAAAAAAATGTCTCCTGCGTTCTTCTTAATTATCGTTCATTTGACGACATCTAAAAACATTAAATACGATCGAACTTGGACATATGCGCAGCTGTAAATTTAAATAGAAAATAAAACGTGTCTAGATAAATAAATGAAAAAATTCTATAAATACAAATTTAGTACATGTGATGAGATTGATTAAGGATAGGATTTACTAAGCATAGTTTAGTTTTAACACAAGGTAACGAATGTGGATCGAACACACTATTCAATGAGATAAGATCGTTACTATTACCCTACATCAAATGTGCCCATTATTTTTTTTTGTTTTTTTTTTTAACTACAATTAGTTTAGCTTTTTACAACGAGAGAGAGAGAGAGCGAGAGATGAAAGAGAGAGAGGGAGAGAGAGGGAGAGGGAGAGAGGGAGCGGGAGAGAAGGAGAGAGGGAGAAAGGGAAAGATAGGGAGAGAGAGAGAGGGAGAGGGAGACTGAGATATATGGGAGAAAGGTTTATTCTCTTATTTGTATTCCCCACCCCCGTTATGGACATTACAATATCCGTGATATAATAACAGCGTATTTCACGGACAGTACGGAATGGCAAAAAGAAAAAGGAATGGCAAACATGTTTTTTTTCGCAATTTTGACATACACAAAACTATATATACATATATACAAATGTCCTATGCAGAGAAAAAGTATATTCCATTACAAAGCAGAGTTTAAAGAAAGGCAAAAAGGAATGGTCTTACATATAAAATGGAGATACTTCTGTGTCTGGAGAAGCCATGTTTAGGAATCCAGATTCAACCGGGTCAGATTAATCTACAATATAACACTCACGGATATATTCCACGATGGGGAAACAACGAGTCTTAGATTTTCCCATATTGAGGATTGCGAGCTGCAGTTTATTTCTATATTTGGGAAATATATATATTCCCAAAGGGAAACGGCACTTGTAAAATGCAGCAGTTGATGGAGGAGGCAGATTTAGCTTCAGTCGGGTCCCTCGGCCCAGGCTAAAAAAAAAATCTCCCTGTTTGGCTACTGTATTTTGAATGACTGGTTACTCTGCTCATTGTATAGAGTGACGCCATGTTACCTACGCAACTTCTCTCCACCAAAGGGAGATAATAGCTATCCTTATCTCTATAGACGCATGAAACACTAATTTAAGATCGAACTTACATAAATGGCCTACAAGTCTACTTTTTTCACCATTACACTAAGCGGATCTGCCCAACGAGGTTAACAGTAATAGCAATCAAGTTTCAACTTAGGTGGTGTTAATTGTCGTCTTCTATGTGCCGTTGTTCTTCTGGACATGGATGATCATGGCTCTCCACATCTTTCTATCGCTAATGATCTTTAGCAGCGCCACGTTCCGCTATTCATTAATACAACCTGAATAGTTAGGTGACTTTTCCTCTTTCTCTTGGCATCGATACGTCCTGTGAGGTTTAAGTTTTCCAATCCCAACTTCCTCATTTTGTGTCCAATATAGTCTAGCTCTTTCTTTCAGTTTGTAAGTATAAGTGTTCTTTACGCTAGTATTTTCTTTAACTCTTTCTCGTTGCTTACGTTATTCGTTAAAAGAATTCTCAGTATGCTTCTGTAGTGTCATATTTAAGATATCTCCCAGTTATTCGCTCCATCGGTCGGGTGAACGTACATCATTTGCTGCCATAGAACAGGATTGATATCACACACCAATTGGGTACACTTTCCTTTGTTTCTAACGAAACCTTACTGTCATTTGCATCAAAACCTAATATCCCTGTGTTAAGTCTAAGAAGCGCGAAATACAGAACATTTCAGCTGTCGGTTTGATGGTATAATATAACGCTGACTTATCAAACACCTAAAATGGCTAATAATTAATTTCAGGAATTAAAGATATCTCCTTGGTTAATGTTGGTCCGAGTGAAGGAGTTCACAAATTGTTTATCTATCTTGATTGCATAGGTAATTACATAATGTAATCACAAATTGTCAAACACGTTAAAGTATTTCGATCTTAAGATAACGGCGATTAGTCTTTTGGTAAATCCCACTTAAATGGCTGTGACGTCGTCCCCCCTGGTCGCAGCGTCGACTGTGTCGTTCGATCTCGTTCGCGGCGCCAACTGTGACGTGACGTGGTCCAGGGTTCTGATCCTATGGTCACGACACCAGTTGTGACGTCTTTGCTGCGGCGTTAGCTGTTCGCTCCTCGCTGCTCCAAGTGTGATTGCCTAAACCTTTGTTAGATGAATACCAGCCTCGTCGTTCCCAACTCGCTTCCAACGCCTGGTTAATAGGGTAACTGCACTGATCTCCGGTCTGCCTACCCACGTTGTGATTAGATCTTAGACAGACGGGATCAAACAGGGATTAGGGCCGTATGCAAGCTGAGTCCAACGGGGTGATAAATAATACAAGAAAAGAAACACTCCAAGGTCAAAAATTATTGAAGAAAAAGGTAACAACTTTTTATATCAACTGTTTGTTACACAAGATTATTCCTACCTCCTGACCCGTTCTGTGGACCGTGGCACCAAGCTTCTACCATACAACTTTAAGGCTTCGAATTGCTTTGCTCTCTGAAATGTGCATTTCAGGGTGTGGTTTGTTTCAACACTGGGCGCTGATCTCTACCTGTCGTTCACGGCTGATTTCCCTCGCCGTCAGTGCGCGAATTAACTTTTCTCTTCGGCTTCGGTTGGACGAGCTTATTCACTTCGGCTTGAGTTGGGCAAATTTCTTCACTTCGACTTGCTGACGAATTTCTCTTCTTAGGCCAAACGAACCGGCCTTTTCTGCCGCAAAGGGGACTAATGAACAGGGCCCGCCGTCCGCGCTGCAACTCCAACTTAACTTCTTCTTCCGAGGCGCAACCCCAACTTAACTTCTCTCTTCGGCTTCTCTTGCCCGCAAGGGGGCGAATGAACCGAGCCCGCCGCCCGCGCTCAGCTCCCTCGCTGTCCGCGGCGTAACTGCAACTTAACTTCTTCACTTAGGCCAAACGGACCGGCCTTTCTTGCCCACAAGGGGGGCGAATGAACCGGTCCCGCAGCCCGCGCTCAAACTCCCTCGCCGTCCGAGGCGCAACCCCAACTGATTTCTGTCGATTGGGGTCCTGCTTTTATTGAGGCAGTCAAAAACTGGGGTGGGTCTGTCGGCGCCAGGGTTTTCTAAAGACCTATTATTTCTGATTAGGATTTTCCATTATCGGTAACTTACTTTCACGGCTTCCTTTATTGTACCTCTGGGGAGGCGTATACCCGCTTCCCCCTGGTCCCTCGTATGTCAGGTGACCGCTCGACCAATGGGGTCCTGGTCGGGCATCTTTCCTCCTCCCTCGCACATCACATGACCGCCCTCGGCCAATGAGACTCTGGTCGGTATTTTTCCTCCTTCCTTCGTGACGTCTCTAATCGGGCGTGGACAATCCGTGGCTTTGTTCTGGGGGAAGAAACACCTTGCTAAAAAAAAAAAAAATTTAAATTGCCATTTTCGTACCAGATCGAATGACGCTATCGGTTTCTTTCACACGCGGTATCTGTCAAACAGCCTACCGCTAATTGGATACGATCTAAGAAAGGGATTTTCTTAGACCTGTCGGCGTCTCTCTGGAGCTAATACAAATATTTCACCTTTTTCTTTCGCTCGGAGCTTGTTAACAAAAATCTTAATTATCTCAAAAAAAACGACATCACCTTGGGTGTTTTTTTTTTTTTCAACTCTGGAATCGTCTGGGTTCTTCTATTAATACTTTGTTTTCATATCCTTAGATACACTTCCCCATCTGTTACCTATCATCTCAATGACATCCTTTTCATTTGTTACTTATCATTATTTTTTTTTCATTGTCCCTAAAATTTTATTTCTTCAACCAAATATAACAAACTTCCATTTTTCGTGGATTTCGGTCAGGTACTTTGACCTAGATATCTTTTGACACCTGTTATGTGTCAGCTGAGCGTGTGTGCTTATGACCGGTTTGCGTAGTATCTATTTTTCTCTCTTTTTCCTCTTTCTCTTCCTTTCTTTCTTTCTCCCAGATCGTCTAAACGCAATTAGAGAATTATTCTCAACTCCAAAATATTTTTCATCTCTAAATAACTATCAAATGGTTAACAAACCGAAAAAAAATAAATCATATATTTATGAATATCTCTTTTCAGTTTTCTAATTATGCATAGTGCCACATGGCGCTGAAGCCATTGTTTCTTACTTGTTAACAGAAGATAAGCCTTGTTGATCTTGTTCAGTATGTGAAGTGGAGAACGTTTCGGAGGGGCGATGTTAATATGATATTAATATAAACGAAGTTGATCTTCATAAGAGCTCTTGAGTTTAGGAAGGGTTTCATTGATGCATTGGATAAATTTAAGGAATAGATTTTAATTTTTTATGGAGGCTTTTTCGTTCACAATAGCTTTTTGTGATTTAATGCTCTTCGATTCCCAAAGAATGTGTTGAAGATGTTTATGTTTCAAGCGCATGACATCTGCTGCAGTCTTTCCATGAGAAGCGATAAAATTATTGTAGGTTGCATTAGGAGATAGTTCCTCGCCATCTTCTTGTAATGTTTCAAACTTATTCCTAACAACAATAGTGTCTACGTCTTTGAGATGACTGATTGTTTTTAGCAGAGACCAGTCCTATTGTGGGGAGACAGACTGCTTTTTTTTATTCATTCTAATGCTAATTCGGGTGGTGGAAAAGTTAATATGATAGTAATAAAATGAAGTTGATCTTGTCCACTGTGCCGTTATCAACAAAGGCGTTAGTTAGATCCAGTGACAGGACCCAATGAATGTGAGTTCGATACCTAGTTAAGTGGAGAACTTGGAGAGGGGAATTAACAGGAGATAACTAATTGACATCCATTAGACATGGAACATGGAACAAGAACAGTCTACCCCAGCGAGCGAAATAAAGGGTTCAGTTCGACATTTTAACCACCTGAAGAAGGCCGGAGCGTACAACGGCCGAAACGATGTGATAAATATAGCAAAAAAGATGAGGACAGTAGTATGAATAATGTAAATAGTGCATATAATACCTCATCTCAGAAATATAGAGAGATATAGAAAAATGTGTTGGCCTTCGGTTGTCTGAATTTCTGTAAAAATAATAATTTAGGTCTTAGTTCCACATTAGATGGCCACATTGGGTGTTTAATTAGGTTTTGCAAAGTTGGGAAGAAGACTAGCTGAGTCATGGCTCCTATGATGTTTGGGCGCCTTTTGAATATTTATATAAAAGCTGGATAATTTCAAGTATATGGCAAGATGTAGACATCAAAATGAAAGCAATTTAAAACTGCCATTTTGTTTACTTGGCTTATTACAAAAGAAACACATTTATTTCTAAAACATGAAAGGCTTGTTTTTTGTTATTTTTTTCTCTCGTAGTTGTTTGTGGAAAACAAAGAATTGTTATTGTCAGAAATCTTCAGCACAATCAGGTGAACAATTATCGAATATCTGGAAATCGTTTTCATCTTTTTTTTTTTTATTTTTCTATTTCGGATTCTTGTTTTTTTTTTCTCGTTTGTTTTATTTGCTTTTGTTGTTGCTGCAGCTTCTGCAGTTGTAGTAGTAGTAGTAAATAATAATAATAATAATAATAATAATAATAATAATGATAATAATAATAATAATTATTGTTATAGTGTTTGTTATTGTTAATAATGTTTACTACGTTTTTCGTTTTTTTATTTCTTTTTACTTTTGCCACCTTTTTTCTCGATTCCCTTTATCTTTTTATTTTTTCATTTTCTTTTATATTTTTTCTTCTTTTGTTTTCTTTTATTCAGTTCCTTTTACTTTTTTCTTCTTCCTTTCTCTTTCATTTATTTCACCTTTATACTTCTTTTTTATTTCCTGTTTTCTTTCTCTTGATTATTCTTTTGTATTTCATTTTCCTTTTTCTTCTTTTTCTTTTTCTTTCATTTTGACATTTTTTTTTCGGTATTCATTCTAGGCTTTGCACTTTTATTTTAATGGTCTTCATTTTTTTTTATCCTCCTTGTTTCTGTTTCATCTTTCTTTTCTTCGTTTTTTTCTTTTTCTTCTTTATCATCATCATTTCTTTCTTTTGTATACTTTATAATCGATTCCATTTAACCGTTCATTTTATTTTCTTTGTCTCTGTTTTCTTTTTCTTCTTTGTCTATCTTACTCTTCCTTTTTATTTTCTTTTTAGCACTTATTTTATTCTTCATCGTTTTTCGTTTTGTCTTCTTCCTTTGCCATTCTTCTCTTTCATTTGTCGATTTTTCTTCGTTTTCTTTCTTTCTTTCTTTCTTTCTTTCCTTCTTTCTTTCGTTGTATCTCTTTATTTCTTTTCCTTCTATTTCTTCTTTTGCTTTATGTATTTCTCTATCTCTGAATTTCTTCGTTTTCTTCTTTCTTTCTTTCTTTCTTTCTTTTTTTTTTCTTTCTTTCTTATTTCCTTTTATTTCGTTTCCCTCTACTTCTTTTTACTTATTTTTCCTTTCTCTTTCTCCGTTTGCCGTTTTCTTCTTCTTCTTCTTCTTCTTCTTCTTCTTCTTCTTCTTCTTCTTCTTCTTCATTTGTCTTCTTTCTTTATTTTATTTTGTTACTTCATTTTGTCTTCTTCATTCATTACATTTTTCATCGTTTTTATTTAATCTTTAATCTCTAATACTTCTCTTCTCTTGTTGTCTCTTTTGTTGGTTTTCTTTTTTTCATTCTTTGTCCTCTTTATTCTTTTCCTTTTTTTTCATTATCTTCTTGCTTAGACTCCTTTTCCTTCTTTCCTCCTTCTTCTGTTGTCATTCATTTCTTCTTCTTCTTCTTTTGTTTTTTATTGCCTCTTTCACTGCTACCTCATTCATCTTCTTCTTAATTGTCATCTGTCTTTTTCTACATTCCACCTTCTACCTTTCCGTTTTTATTCTTTATTTCGACAAAATAGATTAAAATTCAGTGCATGTTTATAGTGTGTTGAAAATAAAATTTTGTCATGGGTTTCAAACTACCGTATTCTCCCATTCTCCATAGATTAAACCACTGCAGTTAAAGATCGTTTCTTGGTACCAACGGGATAACCCATTCGTTAGACTTTCTAGGTTTTAAAAGAGCAAAAGTAATCGGCATAGAAATGCACATTCATTGCTCCGGTCTTCGCTTGAAGGAAATTGTCCTTCGCTTTGAAGACAGTAAAATATACAAGAATTTGATCTATGGTATTTTCTTCTAGAGAACGTGACCGCAACATCAACCAAGAAAATTCTTCAAGGACTGTTTAAAGATTACTTCATAGCCTGCTATATAGAATATCCAAAGTAAGAAACTGCTGCTGGTGACCTATATATATATATATATATATATATATATATATATATATATATATATATATATATATAGGTTAGGACCAAGGAAGAACAGCAAGAACACAAGAGTTGAGATAATGAAGGTATATTGCACGAAATAATAATACAAGATGTGGAAGGTGTTAGTATGATTGTCAGTCTAGTTTGGAGTGAACTACTATCGGCTCGACTCGATTCATCCCTTTCTCTTGAGAGGCGTATTATACATAGTGTTAGGAAGAATTCATTCTGTAGTTATAGGTAAGGACCCATGGCATCTATCTATCTATTTGAGTATTGTAATTTGAAATTAATAAATCTTTCTCCTGAAAATGCTACTAAACTTCTGTAAAGATGATAGAAATGCTACTAAACTTCTCGTATAGATGATAGAATGTTGAAAAGTATTAAAACTAACCAAGAAGAAAAATCTAGGCTGATAATATTTACAGCATATTAGCAGCCTATTAACTACGGCTTGTTACGGCAGGCAAGTTTACACAATGCAGTCGGGGCGTGAAGACATTGTGGAATCACGCTATGCAATAAAGCTTTGTGTTAAACCGGGCAAGATGCTACGGAAATGTATGAAATGCGGTAGACTGCATATGAAATAACTTGTATGAGCCGAACATCTGATTTCTGTGGAAACCAGAGTTTCAAGGACGGTGGAGAGGATGTGAGAGAGGATGAGTGAAGTGGGAAGGAGACAACTTCTTCATACTAATGGAATATAAATGGGTGAGGATGATTACACTGTGTGCGTGGGCTAGCGGGTTTATTGGTGTGATGGTCCGAACCCGTGGGACCCAAGAATCTGACAATGGCACTATTTTAGCGCGGGCCGAGTAACGTTTTGTCAATCGTCACGGTAAGTTTGTTGTTTTTGTTGAACGGCATATTAACACCTATATGGGTTATTTAATGCTGAAATCTATATATTTTGTACTCAATTTTATGTATTTGTTTTATTTTTACACGAGATAATAATGGTTTTAATGCTACAAGATTTGCTAATTAATCCAAATCTGGGGAGATAACTGGAAGATTCATACCTTTCCCTATTTGCGTGTAACTGAATGTAACGAACCGAGCAGGAATTGAAACTTGGCGCTCAGATGAGCAGTTTCAAAACATTATGCATTACACCACCCGCACATCAAAACTTACATCACCTGGTAATCCAAAGCAGTCACCCATCTAGGTATTGACCAGGCTCGGGATTGCTGATCGTACGGGAACTGGTCTTTCAACGTGATGTGGCCGTTAGCTCTTTTGATAAAGGTCGGAAAGGCTGAAGTTTGGGTAAGTATCTAAACATTGCCAGAACTGTAGATCGGCTATATCAGTGATTCTCAACGTGGTCCAGGTGGACCACAGGTGGTCCACATGGACCACTGGTGGTCCACATAGCATTTTCTGTGATCCACATAGAATTCGTAGTCATAAAAATATAGTAGCCATTTCACAAAAAAATGTATCTAAATTATACAATGAAGAATTAAAAAATATAATACATTGTTTAATTACGACCATGTCCATTATATTTGAAAATTTCGAAATCACGTACGTAACTATGCAGTGCTATATTTTTTAAATTTTTTATCATATATATATATATATATATATATATTATATACTTTTTTTATTCATATAAAAAGGTTCCTATGTGAATAGATCACTACACAATATTGTAATAGACTGAATGACATCATCAAAAAAGATTGATATCTTG